TATATATATATATATATATATATATATATGTTGTTTATACTTGCTGTTAATATCAATTAGCAATACCCATAAGTTTCTTTCAAACAAAAGCAAAATGAAAATTGGATTAGCCAAAGGATTAGTTTGACATCAAAAGCAGTTTGTAATCCTGAAGTGACAGCACTGTGTATCAATAAATGATTAATTTATAAGAGGAACAGTTATAAATGCCACAAATAACAACCTGCATTTGAAAATAAAAATATATGGGAAAGAATCTATGTACATATGTATTAAAGCATTTATAATCTGCTAAAGTCAAACGATTCCTCTACCAGTTCTTTCTGTTACAATTTCTTCAAAGAATCAGTTCCAAGCTTTTAAACTGGGGTGACAATCCTGGTTGCTACAAATTTCAAAATCATGTTTGAGAAACACCATCAATTTTCCTGAAAGAATAAAACCTGCATTCAGCTGATACAGAAAGCCATGTGTGCAATTTTCAGCAACCCAAGATCAGTACATGTAACATCTCTGCTGTGCAAGCTGCACTGCATGCTGGTTTGCCTCCCGGTCCAATTCACGGTATTGTTTATGACCTTTAAAACAATACATGGCATGGGACCAGATTATCTGCAAAGCCAAAAACAAGATGAGAACCAGTTCAGGGGCATGGCAGGCCTGGGTCACTGCGGTCCAGCGACCCAGGCCACCAACCACTACCAGCTCGGCCGAACTGCTCCAAATCGGTAGGAACCCACCACTGCCGTTATCCCACCCTACTGTAAAAGTCAGTATTTCAAATTTAAATGCACGCTTAATCCATTTGTAACTTTCTTACATCAAAAATCTTATTTAGCTTTATTTCAAATTCTTTTAAGTTAAGTTGTTTATTTCAAAATCTTTTAAGTTGTTAAAAGTTTTTTGTTAATTTTACATTTATTTTTGAAGCTCACCTGGTAACTTTTCAGTCTTGTTGTTCCAAAGGTTTCTAATAGCTTAAAATGGTTACTAGGCAATTTCCAAAGAGATTTGTGAACCTGGTATCTCCTTCAAAAGGCTCTGCCAGGGTTGGGAACAAAATGGTGAATCCCATTGTCTCCTAGCGCTGAAGCCTGCAGCAGACCACTGACTCACATTCTGACAACGCGCAGCTGTCCAGAGCACATGTGGGGAAACTCTTATCCAATCCTTATCAAGAGAGATTCCAAAGAATTGGTCTACACTCCAATGCCTTTTGTTGCAGTTGTCAACTCCACTTTTGCAAAGACACCTTCAGTTTACCATGCCTCTCACAATGGTTTACTACAGAACGTATTTCAGTTGGGTCATGTGAATGACTCCTGTAGATACAATATATGGCATTATAAACTGCATAGAAACTTAGGTACAGAAATACAGATCCCAGAAATGACGTGGAATAACTCAAAGAATGTAGAAGCTGTTTTCTGCGTCTATTTCATCAGATATGTTTTTACTGGTAGTTAATAAGCTAAATACGATGTCTGAGTTGTGACACATCCAATAGTTACCTAAATTTTAGTCTTAAATTTTAAAAAAGTGGTTAATTTAAATTATTATAGTTAAAATCAAGCTCCTTCTATACAGCCATCTTCTACGCTGGTAATTTAACTGGTAACTTAAAAGTAAAAACTCCCCTTGCCATTGGATATGAAAGAAGAATGAGCAAAGAGAGTAAATGAATTTTAACCCTAACCATAACATATAGCAATTATACCATTCTCTGAGCAAGTATTTTGAAGAGTATTTTTGAAGAGTATTTGAAGAGTATTTTTTTAAAAAATCCCAAACTTAGCAATTAAATCTCTGATGTGTATATAAAGGGTTTGGACACAGAATAATATAGAAAGAGGTTTTTCTGACACCCAAATAAGTCGAGCAAGCATACATTAATTTATTTCAACTAAAAACTGGGCTTCTGATGTTCTCTCAATATGCCGGCTTGCAGCAGCAGAATTCATTCTGTTTTATATAATTTGATAAACTGTTGGTCCAAATAACTTTTACTTATGTGATTTGCTCTACTAGTTTTCCCAGATGAAAAGTAAATAAAATAAAATGATTAAGAAAACTGTAATTCATTTTTCCATGGAATCAGGACTCTGGCTCTCTCGTTACTTCATTTTCATACATATGAAAGNCACACACACACACACACACACAAACACACACACACGACCCCCATGCACAGGTGCGTACAACACCCCTCTCCCCTATGGCCCATTTTGGGCCTAGCAGGCCACCCTGTAGCCTCCTGGCACCAGAAATGGAGCACAGGGGGGGCACCTACCACCC